ACTGTTCACGCCCCCAGAGGTCAGAAATTTCTCTGTGCTTCACTGAGCTCACAAGCGAGGTTAAGTATCACTGAATTTCTCCTTTGCAAAGTGAAACAAAAAAAACTTACTGGTCTCTCTGTTGTCAATTGTTTAAATGTTTGGCRGGGTTGTTTGTTTCTCTGAGTTCTAGGTTAAAAAAATACCAGACATGGACACTCTTCAAATAATCGAAAGACACCGAGCAGAATTCCGTTAACACTCAAACCAGGTGTTGTGGATCAGTCTCAGCTACTACCCTACGTATCTGTAAAACTGACTGGGCTCATATTTTGACTCGATGTCTCCAAAAACTAAACAGTTTTAGCTCAACATCCAGTGATTTCTTTCTGAGAGTTTAATTAAAATCCACCCAGTGTTTCATGATGTTTTAGTAGCAGACGGATAAAAACAAATCCATGGTCGCCCACCCTCACCTTTCCGGTGGCGGGTGACGGTGACTAATTCCTGCAGATGCAGAGCCGTGTGTCGTCCGCGACTTTTAGCTGTTATTGACGCAGCTAAAGCTGTCCTTGTGTGACTTTCACTTCCAACCCATGCTCCCTGAAGAATACATGTCTTAGCATATTATATCCAGCTTAGGAGTCATTGAGACGTGGTCCCTCTGCTCTGATAGGCTGACTCTGCCCGTGAAAGGAATCCCCCGTCCTGCAGGGATCCGCTTGTTGCCAAATCTGCAGCTTTGGCACTCGMGACTGCTCACTGTTTGATTCGCACCTTCTTTCCTCCGGACACGCAACATACAGAAATAATGCAGCTGATGTAAAACTCTAACAATAATTGTGCAAGTGATTTTTTTTTCTTTTGATTATATCTTTTTTTTTTCTTGGCACATATGACAAGGTCAAATCCCTGCCTACAGTTCCCATCTGGCACTCACCCCAGTGACAGGGGTGTCTGGGAGAGAGGAGAGAAGCTTTCATGCTGGATGCACAATTTGTCCTCTGTTTACTCTTCAGTCCATTTGCATCACAGCAGACCTGAGTGATCTTAAACAACAGTCGCATCGCTTCTTTCAGAAATTACTTCCCAAGTTCTGCAAAACGTGCCTCATGATTTCAGCAGACTTTGAACAGCGCAGGCATGTGTGCTCGTACAGACGTGTCTTTATGTAATCTGTTATCTTAAAGGGGACATATCATAAAATCCATTTTTTAGCCGTTAAATACATTTTGTTGTCTACTTGGAGTCTCTAGAAGGCAGAAAATTAGAATCTAATCTCTCCTAGTGCTGCATAGTTGTCTTTATATTCTGTTTAGGTCGTATTTTTCAACCTGTTCACTTTTCTCTACTTTCTATTATGTTTTTATTGAACTATTATATATTCGTAAACCCCTCTATCAAACTAGAATGAGCCAGTTTGGAAGATGGAGGGGGCGTGGTGCAAAGCATCTCATTTGGATTTAAAGCGACAGCCTTAAAACGAGTTAATCTGAGACACGCCTCAGAAAAGAGGCGGGGCTTGTGGAGTTAAAATAAGGAGGAATTCAGACCAAAGCAGTCCCATTTTATAAGACCCCAACTGAAGGTTTTAAATGTGAAAACGGAGGATTTAAAAGCAGGATATGTCCACTTTAACCCAATGATTCTTAACCTATTTTTCTCAAAGATTTGTTCAAACTTTATCTCTTTATCAAAATAGTAAAAGAATAAAGTGAATAATAATAAACTTTGTTTTGAAATGGAAAAATGAAGAAAAAGTGAATTATACAGAGTTTTAATTATTCAAATGGACTTGTTTTGTTGATTTTTATATACGAACAATAAATTTATTTTCACAACCTTTGAACTGACAAGATGTAGAATCCACTGTGCTCTCTGGTGCCCCCCATGTTGGGAAACACTGCTTTAACCCTATAGTATTAGTAAAAAGTGAAGTTTACTAGCAAAGGTCTGCACATACATGAAAACTGATATCAACAAAATGTTTATTAATGATTGAGTCATCATCATATTGTGCCACAGCAGAAAGACAGGCATGTTTTTGCTCTTTCTTTCACTGGACGCAGGTCTCCAGATGTTATACAGACTATTAGAGTTCAGGAAAGTAAAAGATGGTCCATGTTCTGGATTTGGTGACCATATTCACAGGCTGGCCCTCATTTTACCAAGTTGGTTTTAGTGTTTCTGACACCGGCCCCATGCCTGATTCAGCCCCCATCATTGGTTTCTCTGCAGTCCTTAGCCAATTATCCCAAAGGTTTCAGGATGATTCGGTGCTCTATGGTTGGTTGGTCCACATCTTTCCATTGGTTTATTCTGTATTTCATGGCCGTTATGTTTATGGGTAAATTGTAGATGTTAAAAAAATCTTCCTGGATTTTAAACATCCCAGGACCGGTGTGAAATGAGTGATTATTTCTTCACCACGTGGTCATTTCTGGAGGCAAAAGGAAGCACATGCAATAAACTCTGTGTGTGTTTAATTTAGGAAAACTGGCAGTGTTTTTGTAAATGTTTATCTAATTTTTAGGGTATTTTCCTTCAGGAATCTTGACCTGCTGTCATTCTGACTCTAACGAGCTCCTACCAAGATGGCGGCACAAATTTACTTCCCTACAGTTACATAAGACAACTTATATAAAATAATTCTACAACAGGTTGCACTGTGGTTAGGCTTTCCTGTGTATTTCTGTTTCAGAGGTCGGAATCCAGTGAGGTTCTGCCCTTTTGTTTTGTTTTTTTTACCTCGTCACGTGAAATTCACACTTCTTCAAACTGAGTGTGTAATGATCCCTGTCTGCTTCAGATAAGACACACTTTCAACAAAAAAATCTTTTTAAGTACTGGCAGCTCAGAAGTGGGGTCTTTTTGTAAGATAAAATGCACACAGAGGTGTGTAACCTTTTGAAGGTAAGGTGAAAACCCCACAGAGCAGAACAAAAAACCTCTTTTATATTGAAAAATCCTCATGTTTCCACCCAGGCATCTTTGATGAACTTGGGAGGAAAAAAAAGAAACTAACAGTGTTGTGCCAGTGAAATTTGTCAAGACACGCTGCATGTTTTTATCCTTCTGAGCCGATTATAAAGAAACAAGTCTGTGAAATTATCTGAGAAGAAAAACAAAGTGTTTTTCACATTAAATGTTTCCAAGAAATCCAGTGATTTCTATCAGGGCCGCAGTGTTCTAACTCTTATTTGCTACGCTAAGATCTCAGCTTTCATTTATTTTTATTAAAAATTCAAAAGCCTTTTTTTTAGCTGAATGAAGATTTGAGGGTACAAAACTTGTTTACGCATTACATAAGTGCAAAAAGGGTTCCATAACTCTATTTGCAAGTATGAAGTCACACTTGACAAATACCAGAATGACCTGATTTCTTGTATCTCCAGAGAAATCTGTGGAGATGAAGAAGCGTCAGGCCTCGACTTCGCCTTCTGCAACCTGTCATGGCATCAGTGCGGCTTTTAGATGTCTTCTCCACGGGGAGTAAATCAGAGCAGGTACGTGGTTTAACCTTCTCCGTCGCTCTTTTTCTGGGCTATCTGCGAAACACATCGCTCCATCCTTCCGTATATTTTGTCATCCTTCCTCCTCTCCTTGAAGATGAAGTTTTCCTCTCTTCTCCTCGTCACGCTGACTTTTTCCCTGCCTTTCCCTTCTTCTTTTCATCTCTCCCAGCAACAC